CACCTCCACCTCTTCTACTACTCATGAATAATACCAAACAATGAAAACATACTGCAGACAAAATTAAGACATCCTCATGCCCATGCAGCACTTTCAGCTCAAAAAATTATTCACAGAGAAATAATTCTATAGGGGTATATAGGCAAGAACAAAGACTCATTTCTGAATGTCAGCTGTGGAAAAAGCTAAACAATTATGTTAGTTAATAAATACGTCTCTCAGTAGAGTACAAAGGAAGTAGATTTGTACATCAGAGAAATTCTATTTTAATAGGACTAGGTTTTAAGACTCAAACTCTGCCTACATTCTCATCTGCATTTTCAAATTGCAATAAGGGGTACAGGAGCTGAGTTCCCTCTTCCCTGGTGAAATATTAATATTATGTAAAGAATGCCAAATTGTGATTAGCCTGTTATCTATAGCCAGAACATCTCAGTGCCAGTGTTAAGGACTGCAATTCCATTGTTGAAGGTTTTCAGGAAATCCTGAATGAAAAAGGACCGACCAAACTTTAGTTTTCCATTTGAGTAAAACAGGAGGTAACAGATGCACCCATTCCTCAACAGTTCTCATCAGGACTTCACTAGAGTTTTAGACCCATCATTATTGAGACACTGAATTTCTTTTAGATATGAAGACAAAGGCAGACTTTGCTGATGAATTGAGCAAAAGCCATTAAAATATTTTTCAAAGGCTTCACAATTGAACAATGGACTCTTCCATCCTTGCCTAATTGCAGAGGACAGTCACTTTTTCCCAGGGAATGATATAAGGTAAGTAAGGTGGAAATAAGTGAAAATAATTTATTTTAGGTGCAAGTCAAAGCAGGAAGCTTGAAAAGACATGATATAATGGGTGTAGGTGTAGGAGGGGGAGACAAAACAAAGCTCATTTGAAATATACTTTCTCTAGGAGTTGATAAGTGCACCTATTGATTGTAGGCTAGGGGTTTCTGTTTCTTTTTACCTCCAAGTGTTCTAGAGTGTTATCAGATGAGAACATATCATTCACTGCTCTGAGAATATGTGTAATGGTAGTACAATAATGAGTTAGTTCTATGTCAAACAGAAAGAAAAGGTCTAACAACTCTTCAGCCACTACAATGCTTCTCAAAGTCCTTTGTCATAGAAAGCAAAACGCTATTACTCTTTTACAGGTAGGAAAGCAAAGGGAAAGAGAATGAAGCAAGCTGCCCAAGATGACTCAAGAGGAATTGAAAAAAACATACTATATGTCTAGAACTTCGTTTTAAAGACCACCCAATCTTCAACCAGTTATACAAAATATGACTGAGATATAGATGGCAGACAGCACTGCAAAACATCGAGTCCTCTCAACCAAACCTTGCTATTTTAATCAAAATTTTCCCACTCCAGGTTAAAAAACAGTGAACAAAAATTAATTCAGAAGTTCATGATCTAGAAGAATTCAAACTTTATCCTCCACACATATAGGCCAGGAGGTGGGTGTACTGAGCTTTTTTAATGAATTAAAATGGAAGGAAGTGGGAAGGAAGTAAAAAATAAATAAATGCTTTTATTATGCCAAGTAATACAACTCTACATTTCTCCATTTGAACTACTGACTTGGGAAGGTGATAAAATGCATTAGTTCTATGAGTTTAATCTCCCTCCAAAACACCATGTAACCCCACCTTCCCATGCAGAAGTTTCTTCTGACTCAGCACCTCAAAGGCACCTCAGAGATGTGGAGTTTCAGGCACAAAGCACCATTGGATCATTGGAATCCAATGTACTGCCATATGTAACACTGACAACAACAGCTTGTCTTAAACACAAACGTGCACACCCATTCCAGGAAAGCAGCTAATCCTGGAAACAAAATAGGACTGAAATTACTGCTTTACTTATTGGTTTATCTTATGTTCTCACTTTAAAAACACCTGCCCAGCCTTGGTTTACTCTTACCCTCATTCTGCTCTTCTCTGCTACTGTGAAGAATCTTGTTATTCCCAGTCATCCCACAGGAATATGCTGTCTTTAAGCCACATCTCTCTCTGGAAGAATTTTTCTCCACTCTAGTCTCTTTTCTCTCTTGATATTTATTTATTATCTTTATAAACTGCAGATGCCAAAACCTGGTACAATATTTCCTTCTACAGTCTCACTGTTGCACATACCAATAAAACCACCTCCTTACTCTTAATTTTTAGTGAGGTTTTTTACATTCAAGTTAAAAATACAAGTGCCACTGAGCTGCCTGTTCTTTCCCCTGGAACATTCCTAGCATCACTTATGTCAGCTGTAGGGGTCCCTTACAGTGTGTATGTAATGCTGCCATTGCTTCCTTCTGGCTGTGTAATACTTCTCTCCTAGAGACAATTTTGACAATTTTGTTTGAATGACCTCTGCAGTCTAGACTGTAACTGGATTGCATGATCTGATTGCTGTGTCCTCCTCTTTTTTCCTGGTGTTTCAATCTTAGCATTATTTTCAAATTCTAACATCCAAGAATTCATGCAGCTTTCCAAAGGATTTGTGAAAATATTGAAATATGTTGTACACGCCCAATTCTAAACTGTGGAAGGCTGTGGAGAGAGACTGTTTAAAAGAGGATGCAATTACAGGACCAGGGGGAATGGTTTCAAACTGAAAGAGAGCAGGTTTAGATTGGGTATTAGGAAGAAATTCTTTACTATGTGGGTGGTGAGACACTGGCACAGGTTGCCCACAGAAGCTGTGGATGTCCCATCCCTGGAACTGTTCAAGGTCAGGTCAGATGGAGCTCTGAGCAACTTGGTGTAGTGGAAGGTGTCCCTGCCCAGGGCTGAGGGGTTGGAACTAGATCATCTTTAAGGCCCCTTACAACCCAGGCCATTCTATGATTCTATTTGGTGATTCTATGATCCCTCAAAATTTTTGTGTAAGGGTAATTTCTCATTGATTAATGCTTTGAGATGTCAATCTTCAAGGAATACTATTTTGATAAATTATACTGTTTATTTTGTAGCAGATGAAATGCAAAATTAAATGAAATGCCTTACAAAAGCCTAAATAACACCTAGTACTATTCAACAAGTAAATTCACATTCTGAAATGAAGTTTATCTAGCATAACTGCTTTTCTTTAAAACTATGTTGACTGTCACAAATTTCTTCCCACCACTAATTTTTTCTTAGGTTGCTTCTTTAGCTAAATTCTCCTTAATCATTCCAATATTTTTTCCAGGGCTGAAATAGAACTAGCCTGCTCTGCAGCATTAAAAAAAAAAAAAAAAAAAAAAAAAAAAAAAAAAAAAAGAAAGTAATGGCATGACACTCACATTCCAGAATTTTAAAAATTCACCAACAGATCTTTCCAGCCTCCTTTTTTAAGCCCATAGGTGAAAGTTATCAAGTAATGAGCCTTCTGCTTTACTTATTTTATCACTGGCAGATGTTGTTTAACATGCTTTGAAAGATTCAGTGCTGTTTATACAGTAGGGACACTGGATCTCCTACCACCATATGGGCTTGCTAGGGAGCAAACAGCGCTTCCCTCCTACTGTGTGCCACTCAGTATTGAAGAGGTATCAGAGCTTTTGTTCATCTTTGCATGAATAAATGACATGATTAATTAAACAGTGATTGACTAGCATAATTTCTTGGTTTTGGCATTACAAAAAAACAGTGCAAATTAGTTAATTGACGTACAAAATAAACCAAGAAATAAGCTTTGTCAAACTTTTTTCGAAATCTTAGAAGGCAGAATTGAGTGTCCAGAATTTAGTGTCCAGATATATACTGTAAGAGTTCCTGTCCATTATGCTTGCCACTGAATTCATCCTAGGTTACCACCTTAATCATTAAGTATTTTTGGCCCTTACATTAAGGAAAATTATCTAGACATCCTAAGCCGTTATAAATTGATGTCCAGCTGGCAGAGAGCTGTGCAAGATCACTCAGAATGCTCATCTGTCCTATTTATCCCAGAGTCTTGTTAACCCTGGATAACAAAGTATACCAATCTGGACATCAACAATATATCACTTTAGACTACTTTTACCAGAAATATCCCATTAGTGTGCATTATCTTCATATCTTAATCGGCCTTCTTTTCCTCCTGAGACTGCAAAGGACCCAGCTGGCCAACAGCCAGAATATCAAGTGTCTCACACACCTATTATCATAATGGCAGAAGGTCATACACTGAAAACTGAGCACACAAATGCAACATAAACTAAACAGAGTATTTTGATAACAGAAATTTATGGAGGTTACTATTCTGGTGCAATAGCGACACTTGTACTTTTGTCTGATTTGGAGGGGTTTTTGTACTTCTGGTTTCAATGACAACACCTCTACTGGGAAAATTCTTTGATTAAAAGACAAATAAACAAAAAGCCCCACACCAAATCAAACTTCAACAATGCTTTTTCTATCAGGCTCCCCAGGTCTGAAAATATGCTTAGTCTTCCTGTCGTATATTTTGGTTTGGTCCTTCCTGTAACATCTCAGAGACTGATTGTGTCTCTCAGACTAACAGGCAATAAAAAGAAAGAAATTTCAAAAAGATAAAGGTGAAATTTTCCTGATCACTTGAGATACCAAAGTCAAGACATTCACACCTAAGTTATTTGACCATAAGGACGTCTGGACAATGGAAAGACAAAATCATTTCCAGGGCACAATCCCCCTTCATCTAAAGGAGCCATCCAAACCAGGATAGAAGAACTGTGATCAGGACAGGTCTCTCTGTTGACTACCACGGCAATATTGTTGACTTCCTCAAACATCAAAAGTCAACTCAAGCCACATTGTTTTCCTAATAGCTTACACTGTTTTCAGTTTGATCAGTATGTAGCCAAGGCTTCTTGCATGTCACAGCACCTTGGAAATTATTGAAACATTTGCACAAATATGTAGTTTTTAAAATTTGAAATGGGCCCTTTTGGGTGCAGGGAAGCATTGGTGGAGAAAAATTGGCAAAACTATGAAGCAGCAATTCAGAAACTATTTGCTTTCCTCACTTACTTCTCACAGCCAACTTCACTACTCTCACCTGTGTATTAGTCCATTCCATTTCAGGAAAAGGTCCCAGCTGAAGGCCTCTACCTGTGGGATTTTCTTCCTCCTGGCCTTTCTGGAAGTACATAGAGACATCTACTCAGGACATGTTCCAAACTCAGATTTTTCATTGTCTTTGCATATGGTGTTTAGTTGTGTGGGTTTGCTTCCCAGGTGGGTTTTTTCTGGGGAGTGGGCTCATTTATTCCCTTGAAGCTGTAAATTGGTGTTAATACATGTTGAATTGCCCAGAGGCTTTATTAAAAAAAAAAAAAAGGTATTATATTATATACTATTAAAAATATGAGTGCTTATTATTGGTTATTAATATCTCTGGATTAGCTATTTATCACTGAAGGAAGAACAAGCAAGTTATGCATATTTTACAAGAATTAACACTGTACTACTGTATTTAGGTTAATTTTTAGTATGCAACATCTACCAATCTCTAGTAACTATTAGCAAATGCAGCAAGAAGGCTACAAGGAATAAATAAACATTCTCTTGACAGTCCACCTCTTTCTAGCTATAATTAGAAATAACCCTGTTTCTTCTAAATTTTAAAACCCACTCTAATTATCACTATGAATTTATGAAGTTTAACAGTAGGAGGTTATATATTTGCTTTTAATGAACATCAGGTTTCCAATTTTTTTTTTTTTGTGAAAAAGAAAATCTATAATGAATTCCTTCTCCCACATAGGCATGAGTCAATGCCATTGTAGAAAACACGAGTTCTTAACAAACAACAACAATATGGAAGAGCCCTGCCAGTAAGGAGAAACATAAGGAAAGGATCTCAGTTTTTGTTGATAGCAAAACTACCATATCTGTAGCCATGCATCCAACAGCATTTTTACACAATGTTTAATAAACAAGAGACTAAAAAGAATTTTTACAAATGCCATATTTGTTATGATGCTTATACAATGCTGATCCTCACCTTTTACTAGGTTACTTGAGAGACTTTTTGTTTCTATTTTAATAAAGAATACAATTTTTTAAAAGAATAAAAATCATACATCAGTTTAGGCGTGAAAGGAAATAAAGATCACCTATTTCCAACACCTTCCACTAGACCAGGTTCCTCAAAGGCCCATCCAACCTGCACTTGAATGCTTTCAGGAATGGGGCATCCACAGCTTCCCTGGGCAACCTGCGTCAGTGCCTCACCATTCTCACAGTGAAGAATTTCTTTCAAATATCTAAACCTGCCCTCTGACAGTTTTAAGCCATTCCCCTTGTTCTGTCACTGTAAGCATTTATAAAATGTCCCTCTCCAGCCTTCTTGTAGACCCCCTTTGTGTATAAACCCACTACTTTTTTTGTTTAAAAGGTAACACTTTTTCACTCTTGTCTGCAAGATTAAGTCTTTTTTGACATCAAGCATAAAGCACAGCAGGTATAAAACCACGAGGCCAAGTCATTCAGGGAAGTCTCAAAACTCTGTTACTATAAAGAATGGCTAATAATAGTCAAAAAGCTCAGGGTGTAACACTGAGCTCAGGGTGTACACAGGGTGTATTCAGTAAATAGTTTAAGGAAAAGGGACTTCTGGCTCTGCTTAAAAAGATTAATACTGTCATACAACAACATTTTTAAGAATTGAGGCTTATAGTGATGCTGTCAGTCTGCAGTCATTTAGCTGTGTCAGCTAGGAGCAGAGTCCTTTGAGACATGGGAAAATACTGAGAATGGTTTCAGGCTTAAATTCCCTGAGTCACTCTGGAGAGTGCATTCCCACCTCAGTGAAGTGAGATGAATATTCAGTTGAGTTTACACAGAGAGAATTTTTACATAAAAAAATCTAGAGTAACTTCTTTTACAGTGTAATGGGCAGCTGTGGATTCCCTAACATCACCACCAAGTCCACCAGGAACAACCATAAGGCATTTGATGGAGTCCACTGGAGCTGATGCACCTTGACCACAGCAAGCTTCTGTGTACGTGTATTTGGTTCTGGAGACTTTTGAAAAGAAATGTCTAGTACCCTAAACACACATAGAAGAAATGCCCACCAAGCAGTAAGCATGTCCCTGGACAGAGGAAACACCAAAATCAAAAATACAGAGTAAGGAACACCTCTGCTGAGATCATTAGCTAAGGAGGAGTCAAGAGTGAGGTTCTGTTGCAAAATGGCCTTCATTCAAGATATGAAGAATTGCTCTGTGTAAGGACAAGGGTAATAACTATTGTGCTGTAATCATTGATGATGAGACACCACCAGAACTGTATCATTTTGGGGCATTTTTTTTTTTTTAGGATAAGCACTGAAAAAGCCAAAGAAGATCTACAGATGAGGAGTGTCACAACCTAGGGAAGACTGAAACCAGGATATTACATAAGGATAGTGATCAGTTATTTCCAACTGAGAGAAAAAGCAGGGAAATCACTCCAAATTTGCAGCTATGAAAAAAACTTTTAACTGCTAGGGTGATGAAACATTGAAAGTCTCTAGTCCTTTCCATTTCCTACAGGCTTTGGCTCAATGAGAGGTTTATTCCCTAGTAATTCCAGCAATTTTAATTTGGAACCAGATGATTACTAACCAACTAAAAGCAAAAGGCATGTTCTTCTGTGCTAAGCTAAAATAAAACAAATACATACTTGCTTCCAAGGTAAGATTTTACAATGCCACTAGTGGATTCAGTGGTTGTAGAAATGTAATCCTCTTCATAAAAAACATATTTTGAATAAACTCTACTCAAATGCAAGTAAGGTATCATCTAAAACAGAATTCTTCATAAGCATCAAAGTGTGAGCTAAAAATGTGGCAACCCTAAAGGTGAGACTGAGTTTCCCAAACAGAGCAGTCTCATGTCATCAGATGCATTAAGGTATTGTTTTGTCTCCAGCTGCTTCTTCAAATGGGAATGGGTTTCCTTCTGCCATTTCTGACAGCCATATGCACACCTCAGATCTTACAGGACACCTAAAATAGGACTATATGCCTGTCTTAGACAACTGAATATCACCCCAAAAAGTAATTTTTTATTTAAAGGAAGTCTCTTCTAACAGACATTGTTATTCATACAAGCTATTATTAAATGCAAATATATAGTTTAAAAATTTTGGGGGCTATTGCATAGAAAATCTAAATCTCCTGCTCTTTAACTAAAAATATTTAAAAAAAAATTCAAGTTTCCTAAATGTTATGAACTACTGTAATTCCAAAAATCCAAAATCCAATGAAAGTTAAATACAAGACCTAGAGCTGAACAAGTTTCAGTGTTGAAGTACACCAAATTTAGAAGGATTTTAGTACTCTTATAGTCTGGAAAGCCTTGTTAATCTGTAGATTCGGAAGGATCAGTTTATTGCCATGGAAAAAATTTGTGCCTATTAAATACCAGCAAGTCCCACACTCCAACAAATATTACCTTCACACAAGAACATCATGCAGCATTATAAATAAAGTCAGCCACACCAATAAAAATGAGGAAAAATCAAGTTTTCTTTTTAAAAGTCTTCAAAAAGAAATCTCATGAAAATCTAAATAGTTCCTGCTAATAATATGTAGAGGGCATTGAAGTACTGCTATGCAAAGTAGAGTAATAAAATATGAACATAGGGAGAAGAGATGTGCGAACAAAACTGATAGTATTTCTAAATAAAGCCACGAAAAATTGTTGCGCTCACAGGAGCTTCAGTACACTGAACAGTATCTGGGATCACAGTGCTAAGGTCAAGTCTGTTCCTCATGCCAGTCATGTAACAACTATAGATGAATTCCACAGAACTGAGCATGAGGGGATGAACTTCCATGGTGAATAATTGCTTTTAAACTAAAAATTTAATTTATGTTAGACAATGATAAAAAGGCAAGTTGCAATGAAAAGCTCAAAAATATATAGGAGGCTACAATTTTCTTTTAAAATTTGAGTCATTCTTTTTATCAATTTACAACAGAATAATGAACAGCTGATAGCACATTGGAGACAAGTCCAAAAATACTTTTAAAACAGGCTTGTGAATGAAATGAAAATTCAGGAGCAGCAGATGGGTTTAACTGCTGTTAAATGCGGAGTGGTTTCCAAGAACATGTTGTATGTAATAATAAATAGCCAGAGACATAAAGTTTCCCCAGCAGTTTAAATCCTGAGCATACAAGCTAAGTGAGGGTTTTCAAGCTTTGGCTCACTGCAACATCCTTACATTTTACTCTTGTCTACAGCAGCAAAAATGCTTGTTATTAACAGTGTGTGCCAGCAATGAGTGCAATTACAGCAGCACTGAGCACAGTTTTGCAGGCAGGCAGGTTTAACATAGGCTTTCTGAAACAAGAATAGTTCTTGGCTCTGCTTGGAGGTTAATCACATTCAGCACCAGGGTATCCATTCTCACAGTGGATGATTATGCCAGTGTACCCAGTGCCTCAGTTTGTGCATACGTTTTACATAATAAACATGTTAGAAATTGCCTCCCCTTCCAATTCTTGATCTGGATGTGGGCACTGGGATGACGTACTGCATCGAGGGTTTCTGCAGTTATGCTTTGATTGCCCCCATGTCTCATGCCCTCTTGGACTTCAGCAAAAGTGGAGTCCCAAATGTCCAGGAAAACAGGCAGCAACTTTTTTGTTTGTACCTCAACTAGTTCTGGCTTCATCTCCTAATCCATCAAAAAGTGGTTTTATTAAGTGACAGCTGTGATTAGGTTAAAGCTTCTACACTTGCTACCATGTATTCTTATACCTGACTGACACAAATACTTGTGACACAGAATGAAACTGGAACTTTTAAACTCACAGTGACGCACAGAGTCACAGAAGGAGAAGGGTTCAAAAGAATGAGTGCAACTGGCAGAGGATAGAAATCTACATTGGGATCAAACCCAGAAAAAAATCACTGTTGCTGTCTCCTGTTAGTCCAATTGCTTCTGTAACAACAAAAGATTTGTGAGGAACTGTGGAAAAGAGAATCACTGGATTCAAGGAAGCCTCTGGAGTTCAGAGCAGATCTACACTACAATATACATGTGTTCCTGCTCTGATGCACCAAGGATGATTCTGGTTAGCTACTCCATAATATCAGTATCTGCTTGATACTGTCTTGGATGAACTCGAGGGAAAGGATT